TTTTTTTGAGACACAGTCTAGCTCTGTTCCCCAGGATAGAGTGCAGTGGCATGATCATAGCTCACTGCAGCCTCTAATTCCTGAGCTCAAGCAATCCTCCTGCCAAAGCCTTGTGAGTAGCTAGAACTACAGGCACATGCCACCATGCTCAACTAATTTTTGTAGAAACAGGATCTCACTATCTTGCCCAGGTTGTTCTTGAACTGTTGGACTCACATGATCCTCCTGTCTCGGCCTCTCAAAGTACTGGGGTCATAGGCTTGAGCCATTACTCCTGGCTATTCTCGGTCTTATTATGATTTGTCAGCATCTCCCTGGGGACTCTGTTGGTCTCTTGCAGAGTGAGTGAGTGGCCCTTGCCTCTCCTACGGGTCCTTTGGGATCTGAGCCTTGGGCCGCTGTCCAGCTGCAGCCCTGAAGCTCCTGGCCTCTCTCAGCTCTTTGGGACAGTTATCTGCCTGGCACACAAAGACCCTCCTGACACTAGGCAACCTGGACATATTCCCTTCAAAGATCCCATCAGAGCTCACCATTCTGGGGGCACCACCAACATCCCTTTCTCTAGCTTCTTGGATTTGCAATACCCCTCAACCCCGCAATTTCCAAATAAGCACAGTCACCCCAACACTGAGGTCCCTTTTCTGATGGGCAACCCCTCCCCAGTCCCCCATTCCCTTATCTCCATGATCTTCCTCTTCCAAGATGTGACCTCTCCCTCTCTTTGTTCCTTTCTCTCCCTCAGTACCTCCTGGCAATGGTCATAGTGTATTTTAGCCGCGCCGGCCTCTTCTCCTGGCAATACCAATGCATTCATTTCTTCCTGGCTCTGTGAGTGGTTTGCTTCCTCCTATCCATCAATATCCAACACCCTGGGACAGCAGGGGAAGTGGGATTCAAAACTTCCATTTATTCTTTCACCTATTTGTCCTCTTTACTCTGTATATAAAAAAGAAAGGATTATACTACTGTATGTGTTATAGTAATTATACTATTATACTAAAGGCATTCTTAGACTGTTCCATCTAAAAACAAACTCAGGCTGGGTGAGGTGGCTCATGCCTGTAATCCCAGCACTTTGGGAGGCCAAGGTGGGAAGATCACCTGAGGTCAGGAGTTCGAGACCAGTCTGGCCAACATGGCAAAACTCTGTCTCTTCTTAAAAAATACAAAAATTAGCCAGGCATGGTGGTGTGCAGCTGTAATCCCAGCTACTCGGGAGGCTGAGGCAAGAGAATGGCTTGAACCCGGGAGGCGGAGGTTTCAGTGAGCTAAGATTGAGCCACTGCACTTCAGCCTAGGTGACAGGCTGAGACTTTTTCTCAAAAACAAACAAGCAAACAAAAAAACTCAAAAGCCAGTTTACAAATAAAAGAATAAAACAAAAGGAAGCATAATCCCCTCCTAAGGGAAGAGGAAAAGGAGCGGACACGACGCTCCCCCCAGCAATAGCCATTTCTGGTTCTTCTGTCTCTCTCCTTCACACATGAACCCCAAATGCAATTGTTCATCGTCTTCCTCTGGGTTCCCATGACAGAGGCCACAGCTCAGGTCCCCTCACATCACTCAAATCCACTGTCAAGTGCTCCCTGCTCGGGCCTCCTGGAGCCTGTCCCCAAGCCAGGGGGCTTCCTAGTGCAGCCTGAACATCTCTCCAAAGCCCAGGTCCGACCCCCCACTGCCCGCCTGAACAGCTTCCTTGGCGGATGTCTTTCTAAATCGAGGCCAGGTCCACAGTGCCAGTTCCACCCTCTCTGCAATCTCTCTACAGCCAAACCAGTTTGCCCTCTTGGTGTTTCCTGGCTCGATTTCACCGCTCCTTCCAAATGTCCAACACTCAACTTTGCATTTGTGTTTTCCATCTGGGGTCCTGCACACATGTGTTTTGAAGAGAATGACCCATTCCTTGAAGTCAGTTCACCCCACAGTCTCTGTGGTGCCTGCCCTCATCTTCCCACCTCTGCACGCCCACAGCACTCCAGTTACATCCTATTATAATGTGACATTGGGATTAGGTGATCTGCACTGATTTCTCCCAGTCCCATTAGACTAGATGCTTGTAGAAGGCAGGGTTTGGCAAAATGTCAATGTATCCTATTTTTTTATTATTATTATTTTTTGAGACAGAGGCTTGCTGTGTTCCCCAAGTTGGAGTGCAGTGATGAGATCATAGCTCAATGCAGCCTCCATGTCCTGGGCTCAAGCCATCCTCCCACCTCAGCCTCCTGATTAGCTCAGACTACAGGGCTGTGCCACCACGCCTGGACAGTTATTTATTTATTCATTTGTTCAATTTATTAAAACAAATTTTTTTTGAGATGAAGTCTCACTCTGTTGCCCAGGCTGGAGAGCAATGGCATGATCTTGGTTCATTGCAACCTCTGTCTCCTCGGTTCAAGCAGTTCTCCTGCCCAGCCTCCAGAGTAGCTGGGACTACAGGCACATGCCACCATGCCCAGCTAATTTTTTGTATTTTTAGTAGAGATGGAGTTTCACCATGTTAAACAGAATGGTCTCA